TTGTCTTCGTGCTGCAACTCATCCCCCAACCCCCCCCACGCCCCCCAAAAGTGTTCTGGAAATGATGTTCTTGAACGTACTTTTGGCTCTCGTTAGATATGGATAACGGGAAAGATGAGAAAAGTAGGACGCTGTGTGCGACTTCGGAAGAAGAGCTGAAAGTCCGAGGTAGGCATTGCTGAGCGGTGTCGGGGCTGTGGTGGTGTGGGTGTTCTTCTTTACGCCGGTTACCATGTTTGACCCCAATGTTGAGCATCGTCATTTGCTCATTATAATAGACTGTGGTACACTGGAAAAGGGGGAAAAAAAACCCTCAGAATAGAGGTTCATTGTGTTTAAATTATGTGAAAAGTCGTTTTTGTAGAGCACAGTTATTACGCAGGCTTGTCACTGTTGCTTTGTGTTGTCCTAAGGAAAAGAAAAAAGGAAACGAAAACGCAGTAGAAGCAGATCATCATCCGTTTCATCCACGTCGTCTTCTAGCACTACATCCACTTCTTCCTCCTCGTCACACTCATCATCAAGGTCATCTTCCTCAAGTAGCAGAGGTAAGCTACCGCCATGCATAAATGCGATGTTTACCAGTTCTGATAGCACCCTTGGAAACATTTAAAGCTTGTTTTAAATGTGGCTAAACCATCACAAAGGGAGTGTGTGGAATACCAGTGCTGCATGTTCGGAATGTTCCTCTCAACCCCTTCCTGTTGCTGTGTTAAGGTGCCTCTTTACACACAGTATGCATGTTCCTGTGTTAATTTAAATAAGTTCAAAATAGAAACTGATGTTGGAAGAAATGTTTCTCTGTAACAGTGTGCTGTATATACTTGAAAGTCTGTGTTTTGAAATTATAACGAATACAGATCTTTTTATACTTCACCCATATGCCTAGACTACAGTTGGGATGTTTGATTTAGTCTTACTTTGGTCTTAACATTTCAAACATTTAACTGTGAGGGCTCCCATGAAGTTTATTAATACCAATGATCACACTGATGGGAACACATATGCATGCGTTGCAGGATTAAGACTTTTCATGCTAAGAGGATTCTTACTTAGAGGACTTGGGGTAGATACTTCCTGGGAGTAAGTGCAGATCTTTTCTATGAGTATAACCTGTGACCTGGAGGGGAATGTATTGCTGATTATATCAAGAATACATTGGTTTGATATTCTGTATTAAAATATTTGGTGTTGCTGCAGATAATGTGACCAAATTGCCATTTTTTAATAAAATGTGTCAGGCTTAACACTGAGGTGTATTTTATCTTTTTTTACTACTATTGGGAAGAACTCGAGTATAAACTAGAGTTCTCCTGATGAAAAGTCTTAACATCAGAGTGGGCTGAAACTTCACCATCTGGTAGAGGACTTTGTATTTGTGTGTGACTGTATATTCCACAGTTTAACAGAGAATGTTGTGCTTCTCTTGAAGCAGATTTACATCTGTATGGAAATATTACTTGTTCTTACACTACAGTGGCCTGATTCAATGTATGACATAAATATATTCTGAAAATATTCAAATCTCTTAACTTGTACCTTTGATTGTGCAAGGGTCTTCCTTTCATCTTGAATGAATTTTATCCCATGCACTACATTCTAAAACTTCTAAAAAGGAATTAAAATGTCATGTCAGACACTGACTGTGTGAGGATTCCTGCCATACTCTCTGGTTGTCTTTGGAGGGAAAAGAATATATGTCAAGAAATATATCTCAGAGGAAAAAGTTATTGTGAATGAAGCATAAGTTGTTAGTCTGTATGCTCAGAGATTCGCTGAAACTTTAGGGCTAAAAATTCCCAAAGTTTTCCCATTCACAGCAGGAAGCAGATGATCTAGCAAAAATGTCCTACAAGGGCGTGTTTAAACAACTCTATTTACTCAGTCTAGAGAAGAAAAAATGTGAGCTGAGATGGATATATAGGTGTAGGTAGTTGGTGCTATGGAGAGGGAGTGGAAAAATCATTCTGTGGCTTCCAGAGCAAAGAATAATGACCTTAAATTGCAACAGGAGGGATTTGAATTAGCTGTGGAAGAAACACATCCTAAGAGCAGAACAGTGAAAGAGCTTGCCTAACCTGCAGCTGAAGACCCTGAATGAGGAAGTCAGCCCCATTCTTGTGTGTCAAGTATAGCAGGAGTGGAGTAACATTCCTTGGGATGGTGTATTGGGTTTGCCTGGTCGGATTTCAGCAGCAGGGGGCTGTAGGGGTGGCTTCTGCAAGAAGCTGCTAGAAGTTTCCCCTAAGTCTGATAGAGCCAATGCCGACCATTGCTGCTGGCCGGGGCTAAGCCTATCAGTAAAACAATAGGAGAGGAATGCCTCTGTGAAAACATATTTAAGAAACAGGGAAAAAGGACTGTGCCACACAATAGCTGACAGAGAGATGGAGGAATAAGAATATGTGAAGACACTAAGGTCAGTGAAGAAGGAGAGAGGAGGATGTGCTCCAGGCGCTGGAGCAGAGAGTCCCCCGGGCCGTGGTGAAGACCGTGGTGAGGCAGGCTGTCCCCCTGCAGCCCATGGGTGTGACAGGGTGTAGATGTTCACCTGCAGCCCATGGAGGACCCCAGGCTAGATGGAGTGGATACCTGAAGGAGGCTGTGACCCCGTGGGAAGCCCATGCTGGAGCAGGCTGGCTGGCAGGACTTCTGTGACACTGTGGGGGACTCGCACTGGAGTAGTTTCCCCCTGAAGGACTGCACCCCATGGAGAGACTCACATTGGGGAAGTTTGTGAAGAACTGTCTCTTGTGAGAGGACTCACATTGGAGAAAGTGTGTGAAGACCCCCTGGACCCCACAGTGGCCCAGAGGAAGAGTGAGGAGTCCTCCCCTGGATGAAGAAGAAGCAATGAAAACAACATTGGATGAACTGACCACAGCCCCATTCACTGTCCCCCAGCATTGCTTAGAGGGAGGAGGTGGATAAACTGGGATTGATGTTAAGCCTGGGAAGAAGGGAGGGATGGGGGGAAGGTATTTGGGGTTTTTTTTAAGATCTGTGTTATTTCTCATTACTCTTCTCTGATTTGTTCTTTAGTAAATTTAACTAATTTCCCCCATATCGAGCCTGTTTTGCCTGGGACAGTAGATGCAAGTGATCTCCCTGTCCTCATCTCAAACCATGGGCCCTTTGTTATATTTTCTCCCCCTGTCTAGCAGAGAAGGGGCGAGGGGTGAGAGAGTGGCTGTGTGAGCACCTGGCTGCTGGCCAGGGTCAAACCTCTACAGGTAGCAAAATGGATATTTCTTCTGGCATTTTTTTATCTCTTTCTCTTATTTAGAGAGTGCAGCTGTCACTCTGGCTGTTAGACACTGAGCAGTGGCTGGGAAAACCAAGAGGACAGTGGGGAAAACTGGCTTCTGCTCTCTTGAGCTATTTGCCATACTAACCTTCAGCAACCTTGCTGGTAACATAGGTTGTATGGAGAAATAAAGCTCACTTGAATGCAGAAAGGACATCCTTTGCTGTGGAAAGAGAGATATGAGGATATAGAAACTGGGAATGCAGCTTGTTCCATATTGCTGGGAAGAGGGAAGTATTGTCTCTATTAATATAATATATAGGTGTAAGTAATCACTGCGTAAATTGGCTATTTTCAGTTTCCATGTTAGACCAGTAAGTGGCAGTAAGTTGATATGTTGCTTTTCCCAGAGTTAGTCTCAACCAGTGTTGATATATATATATAGCTTAATTAAAGCATTTTTTCCTTATGTTTTACATTTCTATATGCCTTATTCTCTAAAACTAAATGCCTTTTTCTGAATGCTAAACTTAACAGGGTTTGATTTTGTTTTTGTTTTAACTTTAGATTCTCCCAAGTCTAAATCAAAGAAAAAGAAAAAAGAAAAACACAACAAAAAGGTAAACATTTACAAAGACAAAAGAGTAGTTAGACAGAATGTAGTTCTTCATATTTCAATAACCTTAATTGTCATGTAGGACATGCTTCTGTCTGTTGCTATGTAAGTGTGATTCATGCTTTTAGGGTTAGAGTAAGGGAACTGATAGGTTGGCATGTACTTGGCTGTGTGCTAAAGGTCAAATAATTTAAAGGTTCCTCTTGCCATTTGTTGTTGGTCCCGCTAGCATTTAGAGTAGTCTGAAGAAAAGGGAAATGGGGAATATTTGTAATTGTAGAATTTGTAAGAAGAAATTATTTGTAGTCAGTGAGAAAGCAGAAGATTCTGTTGTAATTTTTCTTTTTCACTTTATTAGGACTTCCTGTTCAGTGATTTTTTTATATATTGAGGTTACATAAAAGACAGAATAAAGGATCAGACCATTTTCTTGAGATCTCAGGGGTTGTCAACCCTACTGCATTACTTTTCATATACTTCAGATAGTACCTACTCAGCAGTGGTAAGGGCAGGCAGTAGTGGCTGTCTTGACTAGCTGGAGTATTGACAGCTACTCTTGGATTTCTCTTTTTTGCCTTTGTGAATCTGTAAGCATAAGAGTATATGTCTTATACTTGTAGAAAAGGAAAAAAGAAAACAAAATGAAGAAGAAGAAAGAAAAAAAGAAAAAGAGAGAGAAAACAGGGCCTGTCCAGCTTTCCAAGGTATGCTTGTGTGAGTCTAAAGTGCCATTATATTTCTTGTCTAAACACTTAATCTGTACTGCCATAAAAATGTTTATAATGCTACCAGTTTTGTCATCAGCAAATAGAAACCCGTCTCTATTGGTTTGGACAGTTAGGAAGTATAGAAGATTATTGTTTGTAATTTTATTTAAGATTTGCAACATTACAAAATCAAGCAAAGCTTGTCTTTTTAATGTGTTCATTTTATTATGTGTGATCTCATTTTAGTTCTTCAAAAACAAAAAGAAGAATGAAAACTACAGCATGATAACTGGCAAGAAAATTAAGATGAGAATAAAAAAGTCTAAGAAGGATAAAGAGGTAAGAGTTAATACAGTCTGTATATCCCTAAGGGAATACACTGTAGCTATTAGTATTTTTTCTAACAGTAGCGTTTTATGGAAGAGTAGATCTTACAGTCAGGAGTTATAAATTGAGTGTAGCTTTTAACATGGCTACAATGCCATCTGAGAAATTCATTCTTTTGGCAGGTTTTGTGTTTTGAGTGGGCTTGGAATACTCAGGCATGAGTAGATAAACCGGAGTATGCTTGTGCAGGTTCTTAGAATTTCAGTCCGTAATGTTCAGCTGGTTTGTGGCTTTCTCAATTGATTTAATTTGCACTGGTTTTAATTGTTCTCGTCTTCTTCCAGTCTCTTGTGATCAGTTGTGGTAATTGCTGCTTTACTGAGCTTTCCTGACGCATGCGAGGCTGGCCATTATTTAGAGAGGAATTGAAAGAAGACGATAGTATAGGCACATGTGTTCTTTCAAAGCAGGCAGATGCTTTTGCTGAGACACCCAGGGAAACAGATACCAGGAGCAGCATTTTGTGCTATCGCTATGGGTGTTTGGATTCTGCACTTGAATTAATGTTCCCTCTTTTCATCCGTTTCCACACCTCAGTGATCTGCAGAGGGCTTCTGGTACTAGTCAGTATGTGTTAAAAGTGTTACTTTGCTGAGGTACCCGAAGTGGTGGATTCTGATTCAATAGTAGGAGTTTGTTCTATAGCTACCAAAGCAGACCTGAGCATTCAGAGTTAAATTTGATCAAAAAATGCGTTATCTTCTTCCTGAGGCACTGAAGTTTGTGTTAAATTGTGCTGAATGCTCGCTACCCTTATCCCAGTAACCTGCTTGTTCCAATATTTGATGTCAGATATTTGATGTTGGTCCCTTTTTGATTGGTGGCCATGGTCATGAACATGCTGGATTGAACAACACTCATATTTGAAAATGTTTTACGATTCAATAATTGTTTTATAAATTTTTATTTTAAAAACACTGGAAACAAGTGTTTTGACTGTTTGAGCCGTCTCTTAGGTAAAGAACAGACATAAATTGATGGTTCCCTTTCTGTTATGCTGCAAGCTGCTGCTTATGCATAGGAAAAAAAAGATTATACTTCCCACAGCACAAGACTTGCTGTGTGTACAGTGAAAGTTGCCTCAGACACTAGGGAATTGCATCTGTTCTGCTTGTAAGTTCCTTCCTGAGCAGGCCACAAGCTACATGATGACAACTTGATGGAGCCTTGACAGGGAGCCGCTTAGATAACGTATCATGAAATAGTGACAGTGACAGCTTGTCTCCTGTAGCATCTCTCCCGAGTACCTGGCACCTCGCGCTTCCTCTGGGCACTCACATTTCACTGGTGGCTCGTTGTATCCAGCAGTTTGAATGTGGAGCGTGCTGAGATGTGAAAGCCCCACAGAAAGCAGCAGTGCTCTGCAGTCTTGGCCCACTGAGTACAGGTGTGTTAAACCTCTGCCTCTGCTTTTCTGTTCTACAGAGAGACCGGAACCGTGCAGAACTCCTTGAATTTCTGAACTCTGCCTTATAACGGAAGAGTGCTGACCGAGGACTTGTAAATAAACCAAGCCACCCGTCATCATGCCTAGCAAAATACTAAAAGGAAGCTCAGGGAAAAGGACGCCAAGTTTGACAAGACCAGACTCTCCTGCTGAGATGACAATCAGGATGTCCTTTTTAATAGCAAAACGAAGATTCATATCCTCCTTTTGAGATCCTAAGGTAATAGCCAGGCTGTGGTGTTTTAGAAGAGCCTAAGAGCGTGTCATTGACAATGATAAGAAATGACACGCTGAAATCCAGTAATGTATTTCTATCCTAAATGCATGCAGAATGCACTCTTAATTTCAAATGTCTTCATGTTTCTAGTAGTTTAAGAAAAGCAGAGTATTTGTAAATGTCTGTTTGAAAGATGAGGCATTTCTATATGTATATTTTTTTCAGTAGTGGTTTTACTTGTCCTAAAGAGCAAGTTGAGTTTTGTAAATAGAACGTGCTTTTACATAAATGATTTTTTGACAGTTCATTCACTAATACATTATTTTCTTTCAGAGTGTGAGATATGATCTTTCTCTGGGTGGTTTATTGCTCTCTCTCACTAGAAACTGTAACGGTAAAATACTCTAGAGCAATAGTGGTAGCTGAATGACTTTTAGCCTTAAATAGAAGCAGGAAAGGTCTCCCTGGTTTTGTTTGTTTATCTGGATCAGAGGCAGCTCACAACAGATAGTTTGCTCCTCACGTCCAGCGTTGCACTTCCTAGACCCAAAAACTCTGGAGTTCCAGCCTGCCTTTCTTATCTCGTGAGCCGTTACCAAATCTTTCTGCCAAGACACTCATCATGTACCTTAGTTTTGTGGACAGAGAAAGAGCTGTAGGACTGATGCTGAGGCAGACAGTGACCCTCTGGATACATTGACAATTCACTGTGAGATAAGACAGGTCTGGACATGCAGCCAGACTCCAGCGTAACTTGTGTGTGTGTTGTAGTTTGCTCGGTGTTTGCTCATTTCCTTCCAGAGCCTTGACTTTTGATTACCCAGCCAGGCCCCTGGATACATAACCTCAATATGGGAATTCTGCTTTAATCGCTTGAGGAGCCAGTGCTACTCAAGAAACCACAGTTTAGGAATACCTGAAAAAAGGAGCTGAGGGTAGTTGACTTTGACAAGAATATCAGGTACACGGTGGTCAGAGTGTGGGGAGTCCATTAAAGAGAAAGCAAATGGAAAACTCTTTGTGTCTGTGTCTATCGTGTTGTTTTAACTAGATCTGAAGATTCGTACCCTTGCTGGAGAGATACTTTTAAAACTGTTTTGATGTGTGAAACCTTCTGAGCAAGCTAGAATCCTGTTTTTTCCGTAGTTTGTTTTGGGGTCTTTTTTGTGAAACATTTTGCAATTGTTGCAGCAATGTAACTTTAATTAGAAACTAAAGCCCTGATCCAAGAGCAAGTTCTTACCTCCTTACCAACATAAAACATGAAAATACATAGGTAAGAACTGGAGTTTCCTTGACTTAACCTGGTGATAGGAGCTTGTTTGGAAGCACTGTTCTGAAAGGTCAGTAGGAGAAAAACAAACAAACAAAACCTCTCCTCCTTTTCTTTCATGGGAACCTTTCTTTGATTTATGCTACTTTGATATCTTGTGGCTAGCAATGCCAGAGCATCTTGCCCAGATAAGCAGCATTTTATCTCTGAGCTTCTCTTAACTAAGTTAATCCCAAACACGCTCTTAGAAGAAATTAACATCGTTGCCATTCCTTAGGTTATATTTTATGTAAAGATAGTGTAATTTCCTAAAAAATTTAGGGAGCGAGGGGGAAGTAGAAATTTGGAAGATAGGAAACAAATAGAAATGGGAAATGCAGAGACCACACTTGTAAAGAACTGCATTGCTTGGAAGATTCGGACTGAACTGAGATAATCTGCTTTTTGCTGCCTGTTCAAGGTTGGTCAAGATTGTAAAATCTCCTTCACTGTTCCATGCTAATACAGAAGAGGCAAAGGACCTTTACTTTTTCTTTTTTAAAAAAAGAGTGGTTTTGTTTTGTTTTTTTTATTGCTGTTTCAGGAAAAAGGAATTTTTCCTGTTCAGTTTTGACCTGCTGGATATGCCTTGGTGATGCTTTAAAGTATTTCTGTGCCAGCGTTTACTTCTAGGCTATCAATTCTTTTAGAAAATCAAACTGCTTAAGTTCTGTGGCAGTGATGCAGTTTCATTCTTTCCTGCCCAGTCAGTTCTAAGTGCTGTCTGAAACTTCCCAGCGGTTGCTGCTTTTGTAAGCCTCTTTTCCTCTCCTACCCATCTCCATGTAGAGTTCATATTGCATCCTTCCCTCCACCATCTTTCCCCATAAGCACTGAGATCACGTGTATTTTTGAGGCTGATGTTTGGAGCTGCCCAACACATTTGAGTCTTCCTACTGAACACAGGCCCATACAGCCAGAACAGTTGCCATGTCTCGCTGCCTCAGGAAACAAGTTAATTTTGTTGACCTTTTTGCTAAAGCATAGCTTCTTAGTACTGCTTCTGGTCACTGTTGTGGCAGCGGAACCAAAGGCTGAACCAGATGTAAAGGTTATGACACTAAGGTTAGACATGTAGAGGAATGTGGGGAATGCAGATTGAAGACATTTGCATGAGGGAACAGTGAAGTGGTGTGGGATGTTGACCTGATATGCAAATGTAGCTGATAAGAGAGCCCTGCTACCAGGTCTCAAAGAATTGCACGTTGTGGGAGAAGATGAAGACTGGAACAATAGAACAATAAACGAGGTATGAAGTAGGGATGGAGGGAGACTGTTGCTGTCAGAAGTCACGGTGTGGAGCAGAGGTCAGGTGATAAGGAAGTCTCTGTAGAAGCTTGTCTGTCTGGGCAAGCTGAGATTCTTGCTTAAATGGTGAATAGAAGTCCTTCAGATGTGAAACCTACTTTTGTGTGTGTATGACAGTCTTTCCTCTCACACCTACTTCCTTTGTCCCTTCACCGTTTTCCATTCTGGGAATCATGCAGAACTCAACTGATTCTTTTTTAAAAACAGAAATTCCAGAAACAGAAGTTGCTGGGGTGGAAAGGAGGGGAAGGATATCGTTCTCTGTGCTGCTGCCTCCATGCCCATCCTCCTTGACACTGTTCTTTCTAAGTATTCTATCCCATTTACAAATAGTTGTGCCACAAGCAGCAGAATTGGCAAGACTTGATCCCTTGGGATTTGTGCCTGTTGTTCTTCAAGCCATTGCCCTACCACACTAGTCCTACCTCTCCTGCCTGTGTGTTGCAGTTAGGCAGGCATAAATGCAAAAAGGCTGTAGGGTCTTCATTGGTCCCGTGGTGGAGGGTGCTCATTTGGACCTCCTGGATCTACCAAGTAATTGTCATGAGGCAGGAAATGAACCAGCTATTTCTAAACATCTCTCCACAATTGATACAACTGGTAGTGGTTCCAAAAGCTAACAGGAGGAGATGAAGCACATAAGTTTCTGCTCTTATGCAGGGAAAACAGGCAAAAACCCAAACATGAAAGAATGGTTGCTGCAAGTAATTATGTGATTCAACCGGTTCTCATGGGTGATGCAGTTCTTTGTTACTCTTGTTTCCGTTAGGATTTGCCTGAACTTGATTCCTTTGCCCGTGCAAAAATGTACAAGAGATCAAAATGAGAAAATACTTCTAAATACTGCTTTGTCTTGGAATTATTTGCCTCCATTGAGGCAGATGCTTCAACTGAGCAGGGCCTGCAGTTTTGATACTTGCGCAGCGTTCAGTATGGTTAAACTTAGGCGAGTTGTGCTGTTTTGATGTGTTTGGGTGTTTCATGCTGCAGGAATGTGTGAGCTTCCCAGTCATCCTCTGCAGCGGGTGAGCTCTGTATGCAGGGGAAAGCAGAGGTCAGAGAGGCTGAGGTAACT